ATAAAACGAGGAAAGCTTAGTTAGCATCTCAGGCTAAGCTGAGCAAATCCTCACAGTAATTTCAATTAACAGGAGGGCCTATTATTAACAGCTGGAGCTACATTGCATCTTTTATTTTGTGATATAATTTCAACAGAAGACTAAGTAATAAGACAGCTCAATTTACATTTACCACACAAGCAGTTATTGTTATCCATATGGATAAAAAATGACATCAACCTGTGCACCTTTTTATTAAAATCAATTCAAACAGATCACAAAAAAGCAGGTATTAAATGTACTTTCATTCCGCACTAGCAGGCAGGCACTGAACAGGGATTAATCTGCTTTACAGATTAACAGTGTCTGCCTATGAATCCTTCCCTGACCTTCTCAGAAGAGCATCAAGAGGGGAAAAAAAAAGAAATCTGTAATGAAGACTGGCATTTAGATTACCAAAAAAGCCTTAAATTAGGTTTATGATCCGTTTCGTAACAAAGAACATATAACACTTGTGCTACAAAATGTCTGATATCTTGAGAAAAAGGACCATACTTCAAGCAGTAATTCATGATGCAATGTTACAGTCACAGAAGCAATTATATTTTTATGGACTCACTAATCATCATGGCCCTGAATGAGAAGAGGTCTAAAGAGGTATGTTCTTCCATTCTTCTGTTACGGCCTTCCAAAAAAAGGCACATAAAGCACAGGAGATCTACCTCAGACCACTGACATTTGCTTTGAGCTGTAAGAGGTCCACTCCCAGATAAACAAAAGTATTTTTTAGGCTCAACCTATATGGCTGTGACTGTTGTGACTTTTCCTTAAGTCTGTACCAGAACTGAATCACTCATTTTGTGCAACATAACTCATCCCTTTAATTTCTGTCATTATCACAGAGAAAGAATACACAGATTTAAAAAAAAATCTTTTAGGTCACTTTTGTTTAAGCAAATTGCTCTGCATTAATGCTTGGTAGGGAGCAGGGATGGGGGTAAGGAAGGGGAACCCTTTGTTTCTGTAGAGCAGGAATTATGTTTGTGTCTCAGACAACACTTTTACAAACAAATAGGACAGCGGAAATACCTAGCAATTGGTTTCTTCTTTTGTCATCTATTTACCCAATTCTTTCAAATACTTCATACTTGCAGTACACATAGTTCTACACATAAACTGTTGAGGCCTTTGGGTAAACTGCAAACTATAAAGTGAACCCTGTCCTGAAAGAAAAAAAAACTGAAAAAAATATTGAAATGGTAATCCTGTAACTGAGCAGCAGGGGGAAAAGCAGAATTCTGTTCTCTATCTCAGTTTATTCTTCTTAAGCAGCTGTCATTTTTAAAAAGCTCCAAATGTCTTCTGCCTCTCACTTACAGAATTCAAACCAGAATGCTTTCAACTTGAGATCGTCTCCAAGAACCTGATGATAGAATCACCAGTTGAGTAGTCAGAAAAGAATAATTTAAATTTAAAAAACAGTATGTAAAAAAATCAGGAATCATTTTGAGCAAGAAAAAAAGACATCCTAGCTGATATGGTAGAGCTAAGCATTTAACTGACTTTGCACACAGAAAATCTAGGTGTTAGAAGACTGACTTTCAGTAACCAGAAATTTCCATAAATATAATTTTAACAGACTATGACAATCTCTGTCACAGACTGGAGATCGTGAGCTTATTCCACCAATTCTGACTCCTTCTTCTATAGGGTAGCTTTTTATCTATTTACTCTTGAGGGCTAATAAATACTTCAAAATAAAACACATCTCCATTTCAGAATTTCTTCAGCTAAAGCAAGATGATAAAAACAATGAAGATGATTCAAAAGAGATTTTGTTGTGTGTCTTACAAAGACAGAACATCTAAGCCTCACTTTCCTCCTACCTTGCTTTTCATTTATTAATAAAATATCTTGGTTGAAACTGTACTAGTTAGTGCATTTAAAACCTATTTTTTTTCTTCCTAGTTCATGCAGCAAGCCCAAATCCTGATAAAAAGGCTGTGGAATCCTACTCTAAAGGCTATCTGCTCAAATATTAGGAGTTCAAGCCAAAGACCAGTTACAAAGTATTAAATTTTCTAGAGATTTAGCTCAGTTGGTCAGAACATGGTGCTAAAAACAGCAAAGCTGAGTTGTGGATTCCTGTACAGGCTGTTCAATTCAGACACCTTGTGGGTCCCTTCAGAATATTCTGTCATTCTGTGAGTCAGTGGGTATGGCAAATGCCAATGCCTCTTAAAATGTGACCAGCAATCTTCAGCTTGATTATAGCAAAACAACATCTGCCTGTTCCTTCCCCATCTTTGTATCTGAAACACTCATGGCTCTAGATATAGCACTGTGGCTATTAATGCACTAGGGAAAAAATTTTTTTATTGCCTAAGACATTTTGGCACATATAGCTATGCTTCAGTTAGTAAAGACTATGTACGCTTGCTGCAGAATGATATAATTCCATGTGTATCAACAAATCTCAAGTGGCATGGCATTTACAAAACAGCTGTGAAATGTTGTACTGCAATCAAAAATAAAAATACTTGAAAGCCAGTATTTGGCATTTATTTCAAACTTGATACTTACAGTCCTCCTTCTAGGAAATTACAGACATTTTCATCACGTTTTGATACTAAATGGAAAGTTTCTCTGATAATTTGTTGCTGTGTATCTTCACTCTGTGAAAGAAAATACACTTTGCTAAACAGGATTGACAATGCACACAAGACTGTAAAACACAAAGTATGTCAGCACTCTCAAACTATCTACTTCTGAAGCCTTAAATCTGCCAGCTAACAAGACATGTATTGTTTGTGTCATTTCAACACAAAAAGCCATTATTTACAAGTTGCAGAAAAAGCTATTACTGAGAAATGTGAAAAAGTGATTGTTTTTAGGGAACTTCTGTAAAAAGATAATCTAAAAGTAAGTTTTCTTAAGTAAACCAGAAGTGTTCTCAAGTACCTTGAATTTTTTTCTATCTCCAAGGTAGCCTGAACTACTTTTATCCATAAACTGAGAGTAAAACGAAGTCCCCAAAGCTTTAAGAGAGCAGGGAAGCTTCAAATCCCACAATATGTAACACTTCCAGAAATACCCTAAAATACAAAGGCACCATGAGCAACAGGTTCTCCTAAGCCATGACCTTTAATCTTAGAAGATCAGAAACATCACTTCTGAGACTGAATTCTTCTGGCTCTTTAGAAACTTAATTTTTAACTTTGAAATTATGGTCACAGGTCTACACTCTGAAAGACAAGATGATGACATGTATTTTAATTGCCATAAATTAGTTTCTTCTACCTAACTGCAAAATATTATTTACTTCACTTTATGCAGTTTCTGTTCTCATATAAATCAGCTGAAAAAGTTGGAGTTATAAGTTTTAGTATTATGAAAAAAGTACCTCTTTCACAGATCTGACCAAATTAATCTCTCCAGAAAGCTGTAGATGCATCCCCTCACAGAAAAAAGCTGAGATTTGCCTCCAGTACCAGTGCAATTGACACTAAAGAATGCATAAGCTTCAAAAGATCCACAAACAAATCCACATTATTGAAATCACACATAAAAATACAATCTATATGATTGCACCTGTTTCTGTGCACCAGAAAGTTTCTTACTTTAATTTGCTATTCACGTTTTCAAAACTTCAAAGTATTCTGTTTACACAAACATATTACCCTACTTCAGGCATTGAGAAATTGTTCAAAGCCCAGTTATGAAACTGGTAGATCAGAATGGTTTTATAAGAAAAATCTGGTATCCTCTGGCCCTTTGTTCATCTCCTTTCCCTTCTACCTCAGTCACACAAAAGAAGGACCTGAAATAGTTACACTCCTTTAATTCAAAGCCTGACCGTGCAAACTGAAGGGTCACAGTCATCATTCCTGCTCTGAGGTGTGCAGGTAAGATACATCCCTTCCAATGATCTATGAGTTCTCTAATAACCTGAATTACAAGAAAGAGGTCACAAATCCATGTAACTGCACTGCTAGAAAACGAGTTGTTTACATAACTTCTAAGAAATACCAGCTGTTTTCTTGCACTTTAATGCCTAAGCAAACCCAGCATATCTGCTAGGAAATACAGTACAGTACGCTCAAAATATTATCTTAAAATCTCTTATCCTTCAACTAAATCACAAGTTTCCAGTCCACCTTCTTTCCATCCAGACTGAGCGTTTGTGCTGCATTTTCATTGTGCCTGCCTTCTACCATGTAAAAGAATGCTCTTTTCTAGTTCGTTACGTGTTCATGTCATCTGCAATTTCATAGTCCACTGAGACTTTCCGAGAGGAGAGGTTCTGTTCAAGAGCTCACCTGCCCCGCTCTGCCAGCCCTGCCTGCACAGAGACAGCAGCCGGACACCGCGCCGGGCAGCAGGGCTGAGAGCGGCGCTTACACGCGGCAGCCCGGAGAGCCAAGGTGCCGCTGGACGAGACGCCCTCCCTCCCGCCTTCACCCCGGAGCTCCCAAAGGCAACTCCCAGCGAACACAGGACCGCCTTTCTCCGAAGCCTCCTCACGTACGCGCTCTCAGCACCGTCCCTTTCCCCCGAGGCTGCCTGGGCCCGGCACAGCCGGCAGGGCCGGGCCAGGCCGGGCTGGGGGCCCTCACGTACAACCCCGCGGCCCGGCCACCGCACGGCGCCCGCCCGCCCGCTCCGCCGAGCCCCGGCCCGCCCGTACATAGCGCTGGTAGAACTTGGAGAGCCGCGGCTTGCCGTGGTTGTTGAAGATGAGGATGGCTTTGATCATGGTGGGGCGGCGGCGGGGGCCGGCGGCGGCCGGACGATCTGTGCTGTGTTCCGTTCCCTCCCTTCCGCTGCCCAGCCCGGTCCCGCTCTCGGGCCGGTGCCGGCGGGGCGCACGCACCACGTGACCGGCGGGGCGCGGCCGCTGCCGGCGCGCCGCACGGGACGCTCCTGGCGTGTCACGTGACGGGAAAGACGGCGTCCCACGAGGGACAAAACGCCTCGCGGAGCAGAGGCCGCCCCTCAGTGGCGTCACTTCCCGCCGCCCGCGCAGCAGCGGCATCATGGCGGAGCCCGAGGAACAGCCGCCGCCCGCTGCGACGCAGCGCGACGGTGGGGAGGAGGCCCCGGAGGGCGGGACCGCGGCGGGGCCCGCCGAACCGGGCCCACCCCCAGCCGGGTCACCGGGCACCGAAGAGCCCGCGGGCGACGCGAAAAAGAAAAGTAATGGGGTGGGAGGCCTCCGCGGGGGCGGGCGGGCGCGGTGACGGGCAGGCGGGGCGGCCAATGGGCGGCTTGGCCGGGCGGCTTGGGCCAATGAGCGTTGGCGGGCGGGCCCGCTGTGACGCGGCGGGCGCTCCCCGCAGTTGACGTGCTGCTGAAGGCCGTGGGCGACACCCCCATCATGAGGACCAAGAAGTGGGCGGTGGAGCGGACCCGAACCATCCAGGGCCTCGTGGACTTCATCAAGAAGTTCCTCAAGCTGATGGCCTCCGAGCAGCTGGTACGGGCGGGCACCGGGCGGGGGCTGAGCGCGCAGGGCCCGTGTTGTCAAACCGGCAAAGACACTGTTGGAATCTAGGCTACAGCTGCCTGCAGGAAACCTGGAGTAGGAGCACGGAGAGAATTGTTCCAAGTAGACTCAGGATGTAATATTGAGCGAGCTGTGGGTGGGTGCAGCACGCTGTGGGTGTGTACAGCGCAGTGTGGGTGTGCTCGGCACTGACCTTTGGGTTTTTTGCAGTGTCTGTATTTCTCGGTGTCTGTCAGGCAGAGCTGTGTGCACGCTGGGCAGCCGTGTGTCCCAGGGAAACATTGCTAGGCATTGTGTACCTGGTGGAACTAGTTATGGAGATAGAGTATTGGAGAAGCAGTCCAGAGGTTTTTGGGATCGGCATTCTGAATCTGAGTGTCTGTTTCCTTCAGAACTTGCATCTAAAATAGTTTAGCTACTGTCATAGGACTGATTTTGCTTTTAAAATGGGGAGTTGGGAGGTGTTTGTCCTTGGGCAGCAGATTGCCGGAGTTATTTATGGATTCCTTCCTGTGGAAGTGACTATCCAAAGTGGCCTCATGATAATACTGGAAGAGCTGGAAATACGATTGCACTGATTTTGTTTTTCTGCAGTGAACTCTCAGTACAGTCCAAAGTTTTTATTGAAGATACACAATTAAAGCTAGCCTCATTAAAGTAGTCAACTAAAGTGTAGCTGAATTCATTCTATTCTTTGTTTGGAGGATCTTATGTAAGTATATAGGCATAAATGCACTGGCCTTCTGATTCACCTGGAAATCATGAGGGATCTGCTTTTCCATGGTTTAATATCTCAAAGAAGAGTGATAAGTATGATGTTGACCAAGGACATTCTCAACAGTTTGAGTCCGTGACTATTATCTCATTACCTCAGCACAAAAAACCCCAGGAGCACATAGCCTTCCTGTGTGGCTGAAGCCTAAGACTATGCTTCTAGAACAAAGCCCTAGGAATTTTATATATTTTATTTGGAAATAGCACATGATACCCCAGTGTCCACTGTTGCCCCACATAGCAGATCACAAGGCCCTCTTTGTCATTGAGGATTAGCTCCTATACATGAAAATGTATTTTTTAGAGCAGGAAGTGAGAAGGATGACTTGAAAATAGAGCAAGATGTTTCTTACTTCTAATTGAGCAAATCTGGAATAGCATAAGTGGTTTGGGCTGAAATAAGAGCAAGAGCTAAAACACTTTGTGCAGTATGGGAGAGTAATGGGTCAGCTTGCAGGAAAGGGAAATCAGCACGTTTACTTTGGCTTGGTCGGCTGGTCAGACAGAGGGGACTCCTCATAGTCCTGTTGCTCCTCCATGCTGAAGTGAAGATGATAGTAACTGGTTGTATTCTGTTATATGCTTAAAGATTATAGCAGAACTTTTGACTGCAGAATGATTCTTCTCTGTTCCCAGTGGGATCCTGTGCTATCTCCATCTCTTCTCCCTCATTTTCTTGCAGTTCATATACGTAAACCAGTCTTTTGCTCCATCTCCAGACCAAGAAGTGGGGACCCTCTATGAGGTAACTTTCATCCTGAATATCCTTTCCAAATGCATTTAGCAGGATTTGTCTGCACACCTTGGGCACTTGAAATCTCTCACTGCCCCAGCAGTAATAGCTTGCATTTAATTGTAGTGTAATTGATGTTTACTGATCTGTGTGAATGGGGTCCAAAGAGATGTGACTTCATGCAGTCTCTGGAATGCATTCCTTCATGTGCAGTGTGTTTCCATGCCTCTCACTGTAATGGGGAGCTTTCTCATGACAATATTCCATGACATGTTAATCTGATGGGAAGACTTTTTGTTTTGCTTCATGTATATGCTAGTCCGTGAATAATTGTAACAGCTATTTTTTTTTTTTTCTTGCAGTGTTTTGGAAGTGATGGCAAGCTTGTACTGCATTATTGCAAAACTCAGGCATGGGGATAAATGACTTGCCACACAGTTGTTCAGGTTTTCTCTTCAAAAACGGAGAAAGGACTAACTTATACTCAAGCTGTAAACACACAGAAAGAGGGATTTTTGCATTGCTGCCTATGAACATATGGTGCAGATGAATTAGCAAAGACCTGGTTAGGCTGTACGATCACATGGCTTTTTTTCTGATGTACATCTGGGGACTTGCACCTGCCATGTACAGTAGAGCCAGCATTCTTGCTGCTGACTACTTAATTGCTGTATCTGAAGGGAAACTTTCAGTTGTCTGCAAGACTGACTGGACAGCTCTGTCCATATGTTGTACTGAAGATAAGAGAACCTTTTTATTAAAAGTAATGTCTGTTGTACATGTAGCCTGAGATTCAGTTTACTTCTTATGTGTTGTACATCTGTGGTGTGCATCCTATTCTTTGTGAAATCTTCATCTTGAATGTGCATTATCTCATATTATTTCAAGACAGTATTTTGATTTTTTTTCTTGTAATATATAGGGGTTGGTATCTAGTCTAATTACTCCACCCTTTGCCTTCATCGTGTTGGTAAGTTGAGTACCTCATTTTGGATGGCACAGCATTATGAGAGGCCTCACAATACTTCCCTCCTGCACAAATTTTGTAATGCTTTGTTGAAGGCTCAAGACTTCAGCAGTTCTCAAGCTGTTTCTTCTTGCACTGTTTAATGACTTGCATCTTTAGCTGAATGATGTAGTGAGCTGTTGCATCTAGAGTTCTTGAAAAAGTAGATATGAGCTGCTAAAACCTCTATATATTCTCTTTTTGACTGTTGTTAATTTTCATGTTTTACCAGCTGTGTGGTCCACTAAACAGTAGCATGCAATTTATATTCTTTTGCTAAATCATAGCAGTGAGAATTGACTTGAGGTTTTTTCCATTATTGAGAGGACTTTGTACCTTGGCTAGGTTGCTGACCTTTGCTTTTATTTATTGGGGAGTTTGGGTGTGAGGGGTGGGGATCTTTAGTGGGTTTATTTGAAGTGTCTGTTGTACAGTCTTTTATGTTTGTTTAAGCTGAACCAAATTAAATGTTAGTTGTTTGCTTGGAGAATGTTCTTATACTGGATAACAGTTTTTGTCCCTGATGTAATCCAGTTCTTGAGCACATACAGACAAAACAGCCATTTCTAGTTTAAATAATATTTTTACTATAATCTGGAACTGCTATTTCATACATAAGTGGCTCTTATGTAGTCTCTGCATCCTGTGTATTGATTTTTTTTCCACCTGAAAGGACTTCTGGAAGAGTAATACCCAGCTTAACTTACTGACGTTGCCACAGTTTGTGTGCAGCGTGCACGTACACCACTGTTACACAGGCACCTGCTCTCAATGCTTGCTATATGCATTACTTGATGTATATTGGCATTTTTTAAGTGGAAAACTTGGGTTCCCTTCATTAAACTAACAAGGCAGAATTTGTTGCAAACTTTAAACTTCAAATAATCTATACTTTTGCCTGCTCAGAACCCTGATCTCATGAATCTCCATCTCTTTAAAAGAGCTGTTGCAGAGGGAAGCATTCTGATCCTGTCTGGTTGAGGAAATTGCCTGCTTAGTTACTGTGAGGCCAGCATAACCTCGACAGCCACTAGAGGGTACACAAGGACAAAGGTATTTGCATAGTTTTATCTAGGGCTCTTTTTCAATCTTTTTCATAGTATGTCCACATGCTGGCTTTACAAATATAAGTAGTTTGTTCTCCCGTGTGACAGTATGTTTACCTAAGATAAGCTACTAGTCTGGTTCTCTTTAAAGAATGTTCTATTGGTGCCTTTCACCTCACTTGATCTTAACAAATGAAACTACTGATAAACTGCAAATGTGCTCTTCAGAAGTGATGCAAGAAGGTTGATGTGTGTGTGTGTGTACTGGAGGCATTATGTTTTGGTTTTAAAAAGTCAAAAGACATTGAGATCTTGAAGAACTATAGGTCATTGTGTCTGCTAACTAATTATAGAAGGTTGTCATTTATGCTGAATCTATAAATAATTTTTATCCTCTGAAGTTGAATAAAAAATCGTTTGCCTCAATTCCTCAAAATGTGATAATCCAATAATGTAAAACCCATGGTATGGTCTGGATTTCCTTCTTTACCACATGCATTTTTGGACCTGGATAAATGAATCATGAAGCTTTGAATTATTAATTTATCTAAGATTCAGCTTGTTCCCTGAACAATACTTACTTTTTACTGGTTGCTTCAGCATTTTTCTGCTCTTAATCTTTTTCTAACCCCAAGTAATTATTTTCTTGGGGTCTAGTTTACCAGTATACAGCGAGTACTTACTGATCCAGCCCTTGCTTTCTATTTCTTCAGTGCTCCTAAGCGGCTGCCTTTATTCTGTTCCTTTTATTGACTGCCAGCTCCAGTTCTGCTAATTCCCCCATGTAACTTCCGTACCTTTTTTACAGAGAGAGTCCTCCTTTTTGACACTTTCCCTTTGGGTTTGTACTGTGCATCAGGGAGGTGGTCAGTACTTAGCTCTGGTAGCTCTTTAAGGACCATGGACTCTGTTTGGAGCTGAGGTGTGATTTTAGGTGGCAGAAAATTTTCCTTGCTCGTATTCTTAAGTAACAAACCATACTGCAAACATGTCAAGTAGATAATGTGTCAAGTAAACAAATAAGTGCTTCCCAGTACATTGCTTTTAGAACTTGCAAGAGACATGTTGAATCTCCTATTTTAAAAAGGAACAGTTATAGCTTCTAAAATCATAGATTGTCCTGATATGCTTTTCTCTTTGAAAAGAATATTTCCAGTAAATTGGAAACCTAAGAAGCCCAGGTTCTTAGGTTTCCAATTTACTGGTAATATTCAGTATGAGAATACAGAACATGAGCTGTGTTCTCTGCATTTGGTGTCATTTAAGTGACTTCAATTGCTAGAGTGGGAGAAAAAGGGCATGAAAGTAAAGACTGAGTAAATTTAGACTTTTATTTTTTGTTTTGTACAACTCTCACTGATCTGTCCAAGAGACAAAGTGCTCAACCGATATGCTACTATACTGATGCTGCGACTATACTGAACTGCCAATATTTGTAATGTAATTTAATTCACTTGATTTAATGTAACTGAATTAACAGACAAATTGAAAAAAATTCAATAAATAATTTTTAAAGACTGAGAAATAAGATAAGTATTGGAAAGGGAAGTTACTACACTGTTTTTATGAAAGACCTAGTACTTCACAACATCCTGATATTAAAAAGTAATTCTATGCAAAATGCAGTTACCCTGTTTCAAGTTAATACTCACCAGATGCAAACCCTTCACACTGTGAGACACTGTTTTTATTAACTATTATAATGGTTTAGAGACTAGCTTTAATGATGGATTTCTAATTTGTAGTTTGAACTAGTCTTAAATGCACATGGAAACCTGAAGAAGCTAAATGAAACTAAAGTTACATCAAGAGTGAAATGATAAAATACACAGTTGTGCCACCTATGAGCATACTGAGCAGATGTCATCATTTCCAGGACTTTAAAGTCTCAGAAAACTACTGCTTAGACCTTAACAGAAGATTTGTCTGTGTTAACTATCCCCACAACTCAAACTTGAATGTACTGATACACAGTAAAGTCACAGTGAGGGGGTTGGAAATCCACACATCCATTTTTCCAACTCCTTCCAATGCCAAAGCAGCTTCTGTTTACCAATTGTCACTGTTCATGCTCATTTTGCAAGTCAAATTCTGCCTCTGCACAGCTTTTTGGCTTATGTTGCTCTTGACTACCCTGAAATCTCAGTTATTTTTCAGAGATATTATATAAAGGTTATTCAAGACATTATCTCACTACAACATCTTGATCTTGAGGGTGAGAAAAAAAAGGGGGAGCAAAAATTTCTTTAACTCTGGAGTTTTTCATGAGGACTGTGACTATTACAAGCTGGTATAAAATTCAATGTGCATTAAAAAAAAAGGTTTTCAGCCTTGTTTTGTATTGGATCATCACAAGAAGAAAAACGATTGACAAGAAAACCTGTAAAATGCATTTCTTGTTTGCAAAGACCACGCTTCAGCTTTGTTAGTACCATGTTTAATATGCTTCCAAGGCTAAACATTACAAAACCCCACACTTTGCTCTTGCTTTAATAGCAGTAACGCTGTGAGATGTCAGATGCTTCTTTTAGTCAGAATTAGAGTGACAAAAGCTCATTTAGAGATTGTTTCATCCTAAAATAGGTGGTTAAAAAAGGTTGAATCACATTTTTGACTGAGACCAAAATGAGTACATTAAAGACTTAATGTTAAGCCTGTCACACTACATCTATGTCACTAGACTTGGTAGTGCCAGGAAATTTCTGGGACACTGTAGCTCAGTCATCTGTACAGTTGGTTGTTAGAACACTTGCTGGCACAGGTTTTGGCCTGTGCTCAATTCAGGAACTGGCAAGGTACCATTTCTGGTGGGCACTTAGGATGTGATCGGCCTGTTACAGAGTTCAGGAGGTAAATAACATTGATGAAATCTGTTCTGTGCAAGCTGGCCCCGGTGCCAGGGATCAGTCCTTGGGATACTTGTGGCTAGGTACACAGGTGAAATTTCAGGTGAGATTTCATCCCTTTTATGTGCAATAAGAAGAATTAAACTTTGGGACAAAAAACATGGTCCCTCTTCAAACTTCAAGAACAATCTAGGGATTTTTAAAAAATTATTCCTCTGCATTCCCTCCGTGCAATTGTCTCTAAATGACAAAATTGATAGGCTCTAAATGCCTACCAATAGCCACATTAAGCAACATTTTTTGTTAAATATGCAGATTGTAGATGGTGGTGAGGTACTAGCTATATGTCTTGGCTCCATCATACCTTTCTTTATTAAAAGTAGATGATGAACATTACCTAATAATTTTTTTTTTTAAGTACGGGAGTCTTGGAATCCTTGCTCTGTATCTTCTTATGGAATGATTCCACTTGCAAATTATTTATATAATGTGTATATATCAATTAGACTGACACAATGTACCATTAAAATATAATTGCATTGAGGGCCTAACCTTAAAAAAAAAGGTTTGACTTAACATGTTCCAATTGCAAATATCAGTATATGATTTAAAGCAGACAAAGATGTTTCCCTTGAATTCTGCTTGGTAGCAGAACTAATAACACTAAAGAGCTCTTAATGGGAAACCTCAAAGAAAGAAAAAATATCTCCACATAAAAGTGCACAGCAATGTTCCTAATGTGGAGGCTAGCCAGTACTTTGGCTTTCTCATGTAAATATCATAAATTTAAAAAGACCACAAATTTATTTAAGTGTCTTTCTTGCAGAGAAAAATGTCAATATTTTTTATTTTATTTATAGCATATGCATTTCCCACTAAAAGTGGATCAGACTGATTCTTCCAAGAGTCCCTTCTGTGGTGTGTGGTTTAATGCCACACAGCTCTTCACTGCATTGTTTGGAGTTTGCTTTTACCTTCAGCAGAGCTCATGCCCTTTAGTAGTTGTTGGTTTTTTCAATGAATTACATTATTTTGTTTGTGGCATCCTCATTTCACTGGTGTTTTACTTCATGTTTTTAGCTTGAAGATGGTGTTTAACTACATGATATTTGATGCAATTGTTCTCAAGCTTTTTTTGAGAATTGCTGTGCCTGCAGCAGGTTTTCATCAAAGATCTCCTGCATACTGAGTGATCAATCTCACTTTATACAACTGAAGGACAGCTGCACTGATACATTGATTCATGACTACATTGAGTCATGTAGCCCCAAAACTTGCACTACAATTGCAGATCCAGGTTTTCTCTTTAGAACCCTCTACAAACATCAGAAACTTAGGTGAACAGAGACTTAACAAAGAGGTGACTTAGTAAAAGGGGTGGAAGTAATTTCATCTGGAGGAAGAGGTGTAAGTACTCATGAGGGTGTTGAAGTGCTATTGTCTGGCCAGGCTAACAGACCAAAGAGACACAGCGTAGTTGTTTGCCACAAGAGTCTGGTCCTTTAGACATCTTGGATCCCACCTTCAACTAGCTCACAATTTTTATTTGGAGTTACAAGATATAAAATAAAGTACAGTCACAAGCTACATTTGCAGGCCTAGTACATGGTGCAAAGTGTCTAATGCTGCAGTTTGATAATTCCATTGATCTGACTTGAAGATTTTCCTCAGTAAAGCATGAGAGAAACCTTGTGAGCTGCACCCCAGTAGGAGATGATGTGCCAGTAAGTGACTGAGCACTTCAGCTAGTAAGTGTCTCCTGGAGTTAGATGTCATGTCAAATGATTGCTTGATTTTCTTATTGGGTAAAAGCAGAGTGCTTCAGCGTTTGTGCATAAAGCAAAGGTTTTGTGGTTAAAGCCCAAACATCTATTCTCCAAGACAAGTTTTTAATAGGATACTTGAGAAATACATAGAATAGTTCATTTCTTCAGGTGTATGACTTCCTGCAATAAAAGCACATAAAGTCCTGCAGTCTACTTGTGCAGAATCACAACTGAGAATGTAAATACAATTCCTTTGCTGTGTGGATTTCAGTGTTCTCTTTTTTTATATTGAATTTTCAGTGACAGTTAACTGCTGTATGTGCTCAGCCCCTTGTGCCATTTCTGTTAATAGGGCATAAGCAAAAGCACAAGTTGGAGAGACATAAATATTGTTCCTAATGATGTTCAATCAGTCAAGTAATCAACTCCTGTAGAAGTTTTGGGGATCAAAAAGTAGGTTGAACAATTCCAAATTAAAAGCTGTAAACACTTTTGAATAGGAGCAAATAAAAATATAACTATATAAACTATAATAAACAGTAGCAGTTGTAAACTGCAGTAGGTAGATCCAGCCTGCAGTAGGGAGATCCCTTACTTCTAAGAGAGGGAGGTATAAAATGTCCTTTTACTAGCAGTATTTAACTAATGACCTCATCAACTTTGTGGCAAAGGAATCAAAGTACTGAGGTGTCAGGGATTAACGGCAGTGGCATAACTAATTTTCCCCTGGATTTAAATACCAGGGAAAATACCTCCAAGCACAGGTGTACAAATAAACAGAGAAATATAGCTGCTGGAAATTAGTTTCTGTCAGATCCTGTGACTATCAGAATAAGACAAAAAATACTTGAAAACTTACCTCAGCTGCATTTCAGAACCCATAATTGTGATTCTTACATTTTATTCTTGAGAGACGTTCTATTCCTTTTGGCAGTGCTTCCAACAGCTGCCAAAAGAACATGAGTTCTGCCTTTGAAATAAATGACAGGGTATTTCACACTACTTCTAACTCTCTGTAACCTACAGCAGTTTTGATGGTGCTGTATGAGACTTCTGAGATGTACTGAAAAATGTGCTACTTGTCCATCTAATCCTTGGAGAACACCGACCAAGAGCTGACATTGAACAAAGGCAAATTTTGTTAAGAAATAAGACTCATTCTTAATTGTGGATTTGAAAAAGTTACCTAGGGAAGCAATGTACTTGTTCATTACCTGCATTTGGCCCAGGAAGAGTGGATGTGGCTGCTGAGATCAGCACAAGGGTTGTGTTTAAGAGATTTGGGATAGTCTTAGGTTCTCTCAGACCTTAAAAATCTTGAAATCATTGCAGTTTTATCTCTCTTTCTCTCACACACATACCAACAATAATTTACAAAATACTGTTAAAGCAGGGGCTGCTTTCTGCATGCCAGGAGAAGTTCTGGAGTGATGGCTGAAAATGTACCTATTCAGTACATTGATTTGTGTTTCATTCCAGTTTGCTAGATTCCAGCCCCATTTAAAACTGGGAAAGTATTGCATACTGCAGTGAAGTCAGAAATTCATTCAGGCTCTCAAGCTATATTCACTTTATTAATGGCACTTCTTTTTGTCATGCCTGTACTTTCATGTACAGGTCAGGGAGAGGGAAGAGAAAGCAGGTGTACTAAAAATCCCTTAATGTAACTGTCTGTAAGGGGAACTGCAAGCTGCCAATGGTGTGAGCACCTTTGAGCCTCAGAGCTACAGCAGGCCACACCACCAATCTGCTTACTTCCAGATCCATAATCATAAGGCAGACCTGAAGAGCTGAATCTTTTTTTCTCTTTAAGAAAGAATAGATGGATTTTCTTCAAATACTCTTCTATGGTGTATAGTGAATTCTGTCGCCAGAATTCATGACTAATAACAGCTTTTATAACTAATAACAGATTAATTTCAACTAAGAACAGACTAATAACAGATTTCATTAACAGCTGAAGTGGAAGGAAGACGGCTGGTGTGCTATCTACTTGTTCTGGTGCCAGTATATGGATTACATAGACTGAGGAGCGTGAGGACGGTCTGTTGTTTTAGCACGGTCTGTTTTGTCCCATTTACTATTTCTGGGTGTCATTCTGAGCGCTAATGGTTACGGCAGCCCTAAATGTTCCTGCAGAGTGCACTAGCTTTCAAGAAACAGCACTATCAACGGGCAGGCTGTCTGTAAGCAATCTCCAGCAACAATCTTCTGTGTGCTTGAAATAGCTGTGTGTCTTGTTTTGCTTTTCAGTAGAGCTTTTAGATGTATTTTTTCAAACCAACGTGTGAGTAACGGAGGCAGCGGCAGGGCGCGCTCCCCGGCAGAGGGAGAGAGATGCTTTCCGCCCGGCAGCGATAGCCAGTTCTCCTATTTCCCCCGCCGGGATACCGGAGCGCCAGACGCCCGCCGGCCCGACCTTCCCCGCTTCGCCCGGGCTCCGGCGGAGCAGCAGCAGCGGGCGGTGCGAGGAGCCTCTGCAGCAGCCGCCTCTGGCTGCCCCCGCCCGCCGGGGTCGGTGGCCGCGCTCACGGGGACGGGGACGGGCAGCTGTCCGCGGGCCCGCCCGCCGGGGCGGTGGTGAGCTCCCGCCGTGCCTCCCGGCGCATAAAGGCAGGCGGCGGGGGCCGGCCCGGGGCAGCGGCTGGCGGCGGCACGGCAGCGACCGGCGATGATGGAGCAGCCGGTGCAGACGGAGACCTGGAAGGCGCGGAGCCTGGAGGAGCTGATCCGTATCCTCCATCAGATATTCGCCGAGGATAAAGTCAGCGTGGACGAGGTCCAGGCGCTGATGGAGTCGTACGAGAGCAACCCCGAGGAGTGGCTGCAGTACGCCAAGTTCGACCAGTACAGGTAGAGAACACCCCGGAGCAGGGAGCCCCCGGCCGCGCAAGCGGCGGCGAGGCAGAGCCGCGGACGGGGATGGGATCAGCAGGGACGCCGGGCGAGCCCCTCCCGCCCCCGCCGCCACCCGGCCGACAGCTCCTCCGGCGGCGCCGAGGGGCCGCGGGGCAGAGGCCGCGGGGCGGGGGTCGCGGCGGGGCCGGGGGCGGGGAGCGGGCGGAGCGGCCGCGGCCAATGGCGGCCCCGGGGCTCGGGCGGGCGGCGGCCCCGCAGCCGCCCCCCGGCCGCTCCCGCTCCGGGCAGGGGGCCGCGATGGCCCAGAGAGAGACTGCGGCGTGCCGCAGACCCCGAAATAAGCGATAGACCACAAAGTTGGGAGAAGGAGCCCGGAGAAGCCCGCGGGGGGCGCGCAGAGGGACCCGCACTCAAGGCGTGCTCGGGGTCTGTGGCCGAGCCGGTGCCTGTCTGCGTGCCCTGCCGTGTCGGCGGGCCGGGAGCTGCCCCGGGCTCCGGCGCAGTGCAGATCGAGGCTTTCTGCTGCTCACCGGCTGGAAGGAAAATACCTGGTGGGGTTCTAACTCCTCTTGCTCTGCTAGCGACTGATTTATCTCTGCCGCTGTTGGCTTCGCTGTCTTAAATTTCAAGATAAATACATTTTTATTCGAGTGTTTTCTTTAAAAAACAAACAAACATGGAAACAAAACCCCACTCAAACACCTCAAACTCCAAAACTTCTTTTTAACTGTGGCATTGTGACAGCATCATTCTAGCTGAATGATTCTAACATCATTCTAGAGACTTTTTTAGCCTCCTTTCACCTCTCTGTGACTATCTTCCATTTGGAACAAATCTTGACATTTGTAACAGAACATAGGAAACTAAGAATCAGGAAAATAAAGTGTTAACATTGGTTGTGGCAACCTTTTATTTATATATTTATTTATTATTTGTTATTTATTAATTTATTTTTGTCCAGCCAGACCTGTACAGAAATAACAGCACTTGAGAAGTTTTGTCAAATGCCAGCATTGATTGTTTTCTGACATCATAGGAGAAATATGTCTACGTAATATATTTACACATTGTGGATGCAGTGAGAGGCAGTGTATAGATATAGATGTTTCCTTTGAAAGTAGTTCTCTATGAGCATCCTTTCTTGAGTAAAATAGAGTGGACTTATGGGGATACTAATTTGAAAGTATTCAATTGACATCAGTGCACTTTCTGTGTGCCCTTGCTTGCATTTTTCAGGTGAGACTGAGGCATACCATGGTAGGCATAAATATTTTCTTTACTTGGCAAAGTGCAAATACTCATGGTTACTGCTAAAATTAAATCTGAAGGTCTCCCACTGAGCTACTTGTACCATAGCATCAGACCTAGATCAGAAGGGTAACGCTATGGGAAGCTAGAGCAAAATCCAAATCCCTTCTCTAGTGAACTTTTCAATTGAACAAGGTGATCAGTTGTTCAGGGGAAACTTAAAGGAGAGTAAAAGGAAACAAACATAAGATGTTATTTGAAAAGAAATTTTGCTCTAATAAACCTTGTTTAGAAGTAGATCCTGACAAAACGTCCCTCACAGGTGCTTTATCCACACAAAAATGCTACAATACAAGACATGGAACTTTCAGGAACAGAGTGGGAGGACCATGTGCAGGAAGTCTGGCATCTTCGTTCTTTGTTATTTTGGCTTTGTACAAATGAGTTTTGTGTAAGAGAAGGAAAGCCAAGAATATCAGAAAAGGAGCTGCAGAAGAATGTAACTATGTATTTTTCTTGTTTCATTGCAGTCCTCTGTTTCTAATTATAAGCCAGCTGCTGAAGTGACTTCATTCAATAACCATTTTGATTTGATCCTGTCTACCACTCTAGTCTGACTCACAGTTCCCAAACTCCAATCATGTATGTAATTCAAAAGAAATAGTCTTCAAAATATTAGATATTCCTTTTCCTTCCCAGAAAAATAACTCTTACCAAAAAATGCCAAACTTATAAATACAATTTCATTTTTTCTAAGTAAAACTTAGATTTCAAGAAAACAGAAGAAAAATAGTTTTTGTATGTCACAACCTTCTTTCATAAACATGTTTGTATAATTTTCTCTTTTATAGACATATTAGTACAGTTAAGAGCAAACACTTTGTATTTCAGGTACACAAGAAATCTTGTGGACAATGGAAATGGAAAGTTCAACTTGATGATCTTGTGCTGGGGTGAAGGTCATGGCAGGTTTGTATTTAAAAACTATGATTTTAGCAAACATATAAATTCCCCATATCTTTTGTATCTTTGTCATATAAAATAGAGGAAAAATAAATAAGTCCTATGGGAGCTATCAGAAGGTGTCTGGAAAGTAAGCAGTGCAGAGCTCCTATTAGTATAGCAGTCCTGAATATCTGCTGTAACTTTTGCAAGTTTGTAGTCCATGACCATTTGTAAAGCACTCTTTCAAAAATGCTTTGTTTTTCTACAAAAGCTAAGCTTCTCTACTGTTTTTAATCCCAGAGATATGACCCTGTTCAACCTGTCCCATACCGCAGACCCATATAACACCCAACCTCAGAAGCAGGACTAGGTGCAGTTTAAATAGTCTTCACTCTTTCAGGGTGTTTAAATCTGCCTTTGTGGCAAGATGAGAAAAGTAGATTTGGATTAGGACTGCCGATAGGGAGGAGGGAGCCCCTTTCCAAAACTGTTTGGCTTTCTCTAGGTTTGTGCATCCCATCTCTTCCCTCAAAATGGATCATAATGCTGATATGGCCTCCCAAGTCATGTGCATAGACTGTTCACTAGGTTGTGTTGTCCTACACTATGTCAGGGCAGGATCTGTCTCTTGGAAGGTCTTTCACAAGGTGTGGGGTGAAGTAAAAAATGCAATAGCAAATATGCAGGTTTTGGACTGAATATTCTCAAATCTAAATAGAAAAGCTAAGGAGATGTTGGAACAGGGTTTTTGTGTTTGTTGCAATTGATCATGTATGGCATTTTTTAGAGGATGCCATAATAGGAAACTCAGAGCAATACAGAAACTGAGCTCACCACCTCTACTCCTCCTAGGCTATTCCCACACAGCCTGTAATTTATGTTAAACTGTGTTCAAGTTGGATGGACATTTGTTACAGCTAGACTGAGACAAGCTGGTTTTGCTTCCTGCAAGACGAAGGTCAGATTTTCTCATGTTATTTGGAAGGACCGTGACAAAGTGGCATTTGTGAAGTGTTCTGTGCCTGAAGCAAGCTCTGCTCTCTCAGCATCTCAGTTTGCAAGAAATCCTAATTTCTTCTGAATAGAAACAGTAATGTACAAGTACCAAGTTTTTGATTGCAACTTATTAGCGCTGTACTTCAGAGGGTCAAATTCCCTCCTTTGCCCCAATGAGAGGAGAGCTCTCCCTTTGTCCTAATCCTGTTTACTTCTATAATAGTTACTCCTGCACTTAAAGAAAAATAAACCAATACTAAACTAAATATCTAACCCATATGTAATCTCTGAATGTGGAAAATAAAACATGCTTCAGAGCAAGAAGAGAGATCAAGAAAGCAAACAAATCCTACCAGATTCTGTTGAGTTTCAACATGAAAATGCCAGTGAAATTAACAGCTTAGTATAGCTGGTTGTATTTAGTACTCTCAGAGTGAGAAGTATGGCATTTTTTTTTCAACAATGCATGTGAATCCCAGCAGTAAAGGGGCTATAGAAATTAAGCAGCATTAGCTAATTTCTTCATATTTTGGAAGTGAGCATGGTGGATTTGAAGAGATCAGGTATACTTGCAAGTTTGTATCAGCCTTTTCTTGGGATCATGGTAGAAGCATTGTTTTGTTTCTTGGCCCAGAAGAGTTTTTGCATTCTGGAGAAATTTTCAGCCCTACTCCTTTCTCCAGACTTTCTTTGTGGTTCTCCATATTGAAGTCATAGGCTGACCAATATCTATCTGACTTTTCTCCAAATCTTGCTGTATATGAACTTAGCTCTATATTTCCATAGCAGCAGTGTAAGTAGACATTCCTTAATACACGTCCCTTGTGGAATGGAATTTCATTCTAAGGTTTGGTCCTCATACAATATGCTATGTTGTCTGTCTTGCACTGAAATTAAATATGCATATCACACTGAGTTTGGTTATTCTTTTTGCATATATAGCAGTATCCATGATCACACTGACTCACACTGCTTTATGAAGATCCTCCAGGGAAATCTAAAGGAGACTCTGTTTGAATGGCCTGAGAAAAAAGGAAATGGTGAAATGACTAAGAAATCAGAACGAGTTTTGAGGGAAAATCAATGTGCCTACATTAATGGTAAGATATTAAGCTTGTTTTGACAATTATCTGTCCATGAGTCTTATTCCTAACAGAAGAGTTCATCTGCTTTTTAGTCTCCTACATTTAACAGTATAATAGCTATGGCTCTATGCACAGTTTAAGAATGTGACTCTTTAGACTCTGCAGAAGCCTGTATTTAGATTCAGTAAAATAAAGAACCGCATCAAAAATGTGCTTTTCACTCACTCTTAAAACATTGTAGCAATTGCTTGTAGCAATAATAATAATAATAATATACTGAGTATCTCCTCTAGTCCAAACAGCCTTTAGTATTCTGCCCCTGATGATTATGTGAAATTGCTTGTAAATATAAACTTGTATAGCATTTTTTAAGAAATAAGAGAAGCAAAGTTTAGGTAGCTTGATCACCTTGCTTTTTTTTTTTTTTGGTTCTCAAAGAAGTAATCCTTTCACTCAGTCATGGAAAATTTATGTTGAAAATGTAAAAACTGTCTATGAAATAAATTGACCAGCCAGGAACAGAAACCTGTGACAGTGCTACTTCTTGTCCAAATCAACAAAAGGCTGTAGTGCTGAAGTGCAGTGTGAGCAAAACTGAAATTCCCAATCTACAAAAAAAAAAAAAACACACAATGTTGAGAATGACTAAGATTCCATCAGTAAGGCTCTTTAAGTACCTAAATCCACGCCATCAACCCATGTATCTGTAACTATTACCACCTCCTGCTTTGCTGGAGACCATTCTGGAGTTGCCATCTGGGTGTAATGTGTGCTGGTGCTATGAAAGACCCTGCACATTGTGCTGGACCACTTTGAGTTCAACAGAACAAAGGTGAAGCAGCAGACAAGCAGGTCATCTGCTTCATATGTCATGGGTAAAACACTGGAGAGCGCATCTAGAGGGGCTGACCTTGGGAACTTCCCAGCTAGAGGAAGACTCATGTTGGCTTAGGAACTTAGCCAGGGTGAGGGCACTGGGGAGAAAGACTGGTGTTCTGCAGCCCTCTGTTGAAGCTTTGCCGTGCTAAATGAAAACACTGAATTATAGGGCAGGAAATGGCTTGACACATCTGCTGATGCTTCTGTGCCAGGGACATGGGTTCTCCACCTCAGTCAGGTTTCCCTGCATATGCAGTCCTTTCCAATGCAAACAACTGCAGACTCTGTGCATCTTACCCAAAGCTTCCTCAGCTGTTTAAAACAAATTTGGTATCCAGTTCTCTGAGGCTGTTTGGATCTCTGCCATGTTTCATAACAGATGTTTTGGTTTAAAAGGAACACATTAAACAAGCAGAAGGAAAACACTGACAGTGTGTTGATTGCCATAATTACATTGATAGCAAGTGCCTTCATGATTCTACTGTGTGCTTCTTGGTTGCTCTTGTACGTAAGGGTCAGAAACCATTAAACCGTGTTTATTTGAGTTCTCCGTTAGATGAGCAAAGATTTAGGACTTTCCCCCAGCTGCTACATCCTCTATTTAGACAAAGTATGTTAACAACACTTTGGGCTTCCAATCAGAGTTAAGAGTGTACTCATGACTCTCAGGGTACCATGGCTATGTTGCACAATACATGTCCAGGTATTATATAACAAATTCAAGTACAAAGGCCTGAGCTGTTTTTACAGCAGAATCATAAATTAAATAATTTATGTTTTTACAGCAGGGTCATAAATTAAATTCAAGGTCTCTCTTAAGTAACTCAAAACCTCCATTTTAGTGTAGAATGGACATGGTTTGTTTCACAGATGTGATTCTTCATACCTTACATTTTTCTGTAATAGCTTGATTATGCTTAGTATTCAGTCATGACTGGAAGTGTGTCAGTCACTATTGATTAGTCGCTTTATAGGAAAGTGAAAACAACGAAAAATGTGTTCTCCAAACCAATAAACTGGAAGGATTCATTAGGAAACAGATGCCTGCAGTAGAAGACACCATATGTCTGCCCATAAGTCCATGCCCCAAATGCATGCAGCTGACTTTCAATGTGACTGATATCCTTGTTACTTGTAAAGTACAAAAGTTTTTGCCTCCTTCCCGCTTCTGAAGCATGTATAGCAACAGGTCTCCTAGGAAAATAAATGAGCTTGAAGTCCTTTGGGAATGAGAGCTAGAAAAATATTTACCGTATGGTCTTCCTTAATTTTCTTGGGATTTCTGTTGGCCTTTATCCTGTGGCAGATAATCTAGAAATGACATGAACTGTGGAAGGCAATAACACGTTTTGAATTACCAGTGTATTTAGGAATCTGTGCTAGAGAACACCAGTCAAATTCCCTGTAGTGAGTTACTTGTTGCCCATAGAAGTATGGCCATGCCTATTTGCTCATGAGTTACAGTTTAAAAAGTATTTTTTCTAGGCAATTGAGATCTCATTGGATCTTCCTGCTAACACACCTTCTTTTTGCCATTTTGTGCCTTTGCTGGTGTAGACTCCATTGGCCTGCACCGTGTGGAGAACATAAGCCACACAGAGCCTGCTGTCAGCCTGCATTTGTACAGCCCACCCTTCGACACCTGCAACACCTTTGATCAGAGGACTGGGCACAAGCACAAAGTCACAATGACCTTCTACAGCCAGTTTGGAGAAAGGACTGTCTGCGTAAGTACAAGATGAGGTGCTCCTCACCCAGCCCTGGGCTCTGAGCGCTGTAGGGATGGGCACAAGGGGCTGCCCTGCTGCCTGCACAGGCTGCAGTGACCCTGCCCTGGGACATGCAGAAGGGTCAGCACCTCTGCCCTTCCTGGGCCATCTCCTCTTGGATCAGATAAACCTTGTTTTCAAGTACTCTTTGATTGGTCAAGTTGCACTTCCCTTATGTGGAGTTCCCTATTTTGTTGCCTTCCTCTCCTTCTGAGCAGAGAGGATTAGTGAGACATCTGCTACTAGTTAAGCATCTTCAGGCCGCAAATGATGGTAAATACAACCTAGCCCATGGAAAGTGTGAAGTAGCTACTTTGTTTTGGCCAGCATTAGTCAGGTATGACGTTTCCTGCCTAAACTGTCCTGCCAAAAGGGATCACATTTCAAGAGGTTTTAAACCTTGTAGCTTACTGTAAATACTTCTTTAATCAATTCAATTCTTCATAATCACAATATTCAGAGAGTAAGACATGCTCTGAGAGTAAGAGTTGGCCAGTTGTCTGTTGTCTGCATTCTTAGGCAATGGGTGATTTTATTTGGATAGGAAAGAAATCTTAAGACCATTTTTGGAGCAAACAAGCTGGAACACATGGGAGGGGTTAACAGGGTTTCAGCACTATTCCATGCATTGGGAAAAATAACTACTTACCTGTGGAGAAAAGACTGATTCTGGATGTTCAGCCACAGATGTTCAAACACTATTTAGTTTTGTTTGATACTGAACACTTTCATTTTCCTTGAAGCCAGAAATTCAGTGCTCAGGAGTTTCCTAGAGCAAGTCCTTAGTCAGATCAATTTAAAGTTTTTTATAGTTGTAAAGTACCATGTAAATTATTTTTCTGAAGCCTGCCACATTACCAAACAGCTGAAACTGAAATTTTAGCCTTGCCAAGTTTGAAAAGTTCTTGAGAAATAAATTTGAATTTATAGTTCAGATTTTAAAGGGTAATTAACATGGAAGAATTCTGAACAAAATTAATGCAAGGATTCAGTGTTTGTTTTCTTTCTTTTTCTTTTAAGTCTTTATTGAATATTTAGTACATAAGATAGTACGTGAGACTAGGTATTTTGGCTTGGAGTGTTTCCCTACTCTGATCTGTAACCATCTGGCAGTGTTTTCACCATTTATGGGGCAGTGGATCTGGCTTACAGGAAAGAGCTAAATCTTAATTGTCAGGTCTCTTTCATGAATTCCTCTAAATGGAATTCCGTTAAACAAGAAGGTGGTAGCAAGTCTGGACCATTCAGCTGCCTAAAATGACCTCATGCTACAAAAACCTTCTGGTCTCAGTGACTTGGTTTCTGGTAAACAGACTGGAAAAGCAAACTTTCTTCTGCTTACCAGATCACCGAAGGACCCAGGGAAGCAGAGATCTATAAATTATAAATACCAAGAGAGTAATGTAAAGTAATTTGTTTGTCTTTTATGAGTGAGAAGATTGGCTGAACAAAAGCACATTCAGTTCTTCCTCTTTGTCTTAATTATTTAAGAAAAAAATTAAATTTTAGATAAAATTTAAATTTATAGATAAAAGACACATGTCAATCCCTTGTGATTTCTGGCCTCTGGCCATGATGAAATCTTGATTAACTAACTCTCCAGGAAACACACAATAAGTTATATAAGCTTAATAAAAAAAAACCACTATGTATGTCAAAGGACTTGCCCATTGGAGTAACTGCATAGTTTAAGTACAAAACATGAGAATACTGATAGGAAAGTCCACTGACAGAAAAGTGATTTTGTGTTGGGTGTCACAGCACACCAGTTTCTTCTGCCAGGAATTTTGCAGGGGGAGGCAGTATCTGTTTGCAGCCTGTCTTCCAAGCTGGACATTCAAGCAGTTTCTGTCAAAATGAAGTAGAGCAGGCTATCGGGGAGACAAGATAGTCTGAAGTAGGAAGCAGTCCTCAGCAGTCCCTTCTGCCATGAGCTTACTCATGGTCACCCAGAGCCAATAGACAGGATGACTTTTTCAGGCACATACTGCCTTCTACAAAACTCTGTCAAGGAGCACTGAAAACATACTCTCCAGGTATTTTTAGGAGCTACTCTGAGAACAAAGGTACACAACGAGACCATGAAATAGGCAGTGACAGTTTCTTTCCTAAAAGCAACAACTTCTCCTCTTTCCTTTTAGGCTACAGGAGTGCCGCAGGAGAACAACTGAGAAGCATCAGCACGCATTTGCGTAAGACCTGCTGAATGTTTAACCAGGGACAGAAGACTTGCATGGCTAAGGCTGACAGCCAGATCCATTTCATTACTTGTACATCGGAGTACTCTAGGGCAGCCTCCAGACCACACACAGTTTCCTCGAGCAAATGCCAATTATGGGACACTAAGCTAACTAGTGCCATAACCTGCTTCAGAGGTTAGATGCCTTTTCTTAGGCTCCTGTTAGAATTAAATAGCTGGTTGTCTAATTATAGCGCCTTTTAAGCTCCACCTTGGATGTCACACTGAGAATATCAGAAATAGGGTTTTTAAACATCATCTGATTCTTCTCAATAAACCTATGGGGATGTATGCTCTCAATGTAATTAGTAACTATATAAACTTCTAAGCTTCCAGTCACTTGTACTTATGGGTAGTACAGTAGATACAACTAACAGCAGTGCCTTTTTTTTTTTTAATTAAGTCTTTTAGGTTTTAATGCTTTAGGCCATCTTGATAGTTTTGTGCATTTTTTTACCTTTTTTTTTACAATTTAATTTGTCAGATCGTGTTTTAAATAGGAACAGAGAAATGCTTCATGCATGATGATTTTCAAAACTGATCTCACAGAGATTTGACGTTTAAGAAGACTAATCATACTTAATTCAGCTAATGTCCAGTTTCCAAAGCATTCTGTGTAGCTAATGAAGAAGAAAACTGAAATAAAACTGGATTTCTGCACTGATTTCAGAGTTTTAAACTTTTTTTTCACTTTAACTAAAATACCCATCACACTTTACCAAAATCCACATTCCTCATGAAATTTTTTCCAAGTAACACTGTTAGAAAAGACTTTTAAAAGCTGGCAGTATGTCAAACATGCAAAGAATCCTGACTCAAATTAAGTTGGGGGCAGTTCTGTCACTGAGTGTGCTGATGTTTCATTTTATCCTCCAGATTTAGTCACAGGGAAAGAACCTTCTTAAAAAGAGTTAACTGTAATTAAACACATAAAAATCAGCAAAGCTGAGTGATGGAGACTATCTCATTCATTTAATGCAGTTAATAACATATTCTCAAGGAGGGAATGTGTAGCAATTCTCCTAGTCTCGTAGGTGACTGCTGGTTAGTCAGAGAGCAGTTTAAATTTTATCAGTATTGGGCTGAGTCACATATTTCCCTCTATATTGACAAGCCCAGGAAATATTTACTTTATGAGATCCCATTTCCAGAGAGGCTGTGTCAAATTTTTAGAAAATATTTGAGCAGTGTAAGTGTTTTTGAATGAACCTGTGACTTGTTTTGAAAGTGTGACAGCATGAGAGATGAGCTGAGGCTGGAAGTCTGGCTGTCCTGCTCATGCAGGGTCATCTACAGCAGATTACTCAGGACTATGCCTAGTTGGATTTTGAGTATCTACAAGGACCAAGGCACTACAGCCTCTCTGGGCTTTTGGTGTTTTATCACCTTTTCGGTAAAAAAGGCTTATGTTTACACAAAATGTCTTGTATTTCAGTTTGCACCCAGTGCTTTTTGTTCTCCTCATCCTTCCTGCAGAAAATAAGCAGTTTCACTTAATTAACTTCAATTACAGCCTATTAATCAGGCTTTTGCTTACTAGGTAGAATTAAAGAACAAATTTTACAGCTTGTAGACCACATGTTCAGTCAGGCCAGGGGGAATGGAAGATCAGGGAGACAGCCAAGAAGGCACAGTAGATGAGAGGAGCTAGCTGTTCTAGGATGCACACACACAGAACCCCAGATACTTCTCCAGCTAGTCACTCATATGCCTAGCGAGTGGAACAGAGGAAATACGGGCAGAAGTGATAACAACAATCTACACGAGTTGTCCCAAGTACAGTTTAGCCATGGTAAGCATGATATCATGCATTGCATAGCATAATACAGGAATTAAGGTGTATCAGAAGAAGGTAGCTACTGGGGAGTTGTGTCCTCTGTACCTCAACATACAGGAGGTAGCCTGCCCAACATAAAGGGTACAAATACAGGAAACCTCAAGAGCAATGTGTAATTGAGTCAGAGCCCTTAGAACACATACCACAGCCACTACATTTGATACTTCCTAAGCATTAGCTAAGCATCAGGTGCTCTGAACAGCACAAGCATAAAGCTACTATCTACCTACTAAAAGCAATATTCAGTCAACAAATATCAAGTAATATAATGAGAAGCATAATCACCTTTCCACTGACACAAATATGCTCGTATAACTTGTGCTGGTTTAAAACACAGGAACCAGTAATAGCAAAATAGTATTTGCACACTATTATGGCTGAACAGCCAGCGTATTAAATCTAGCATATGAATGTACCTTAGGTTTGGAATAGTGTTAACTGGCCATCTGATGAGGTAGCAATATGCTGTAGGCTAACAATTAGATTTCATTGGGCAATAAACAGATGTTTAGCATTTCATATGCTTTTACCTGAAAGGTGCTATTGACCAATGTCACTGTAAATTGAAGAGAGTTTAACATTTACCTGAGTTACTGCTAAGATCTTTACGTGCTGAGAGAAACTGCCTCAAATCATCCAGGCTGGTAACAGCAGGAGGAACTCAGCCTAAATATGATTTGATGCATTAACCAAGACTTCAGTGAAGGAGCTGTAATAGAAAGACATAGGAAGGCAAAGTAATGCCAGGATTGGAGTGAAGTGCAATATTTACATAAATTCAGCAAATTTCAAGGGTGTGGTGTTTTTTGTTTGGAGTGTTGTTATTATTAGCAAGAAGAGAAACTGTTTATCAAAGACATGTTTGAGATGGGAAGGCTCTATAGCCAAGAGTCACTGGGAAGGTATGTGCCATATGCAAGGGAAAAGATGACAATGGGGGCTCTCCAGGAAAGGAAAGGCCCTCTCAGTTAATTTGGCTGTGGCTGACAAGGGCTAGATACAATGAAACTAGAGACATGTTCGAGGGGGGGGTTCGCGTACCTATAAACATCAAGTGAGCAGTTCTTTTGCTTCACATGCTGAGATCTACGACCTCTAAAGCCTCTAGCAGAAATTGTTTCTCAAAGAGGGTCTCTTGCTGCCTAAAGAGTTGCTTAATGTTCTTGCGGATAATTGAGCCTGAAGTTACCTTGTGTCTAGCTCACTACAAAATCTTGGCATACACAAATCAGTTCAATTTTTTTATTTAAGCCTTGAGTCTCTTGACATTTTAACATTGTTCATCATTGTCCATTGTTGATGTAGAGGAACACAGAACCAAAATCCACCCTATATATAACCCTTCTTTCATTACAGTTTTTTTCCTTAAACCACAAAGATACAAGATGTGCTATTCACTAGCAAGTCCCTGTAGTTATTTTTTCACACACCTGTCATCACTGAGAGAAAGCTGTGTTGCAAGAATATAGCCTTCCCATGGGTAAAAGAGGTGACCTGCCTACAGTAACTGTTTGCAGAGACAAACAGAACAAATCAAGCAGAAGCTCAGTGCTTTTCAACCATACCATATACTCTGCTCTTGCCAGTTTTGCTCATGAAAGATTTCGCTGTCGTTGAACATCAGTCATATGTTCTGTGAATGGAGAGTAATTCCATTCACTGTCTCTAGTAAAGGAAACAAAACAACCATGGATCAATGTGCAGGTCTTCCAGACTAGCTCTGACATTTGTAGCTCTTATGAAGCTTTACTCAATAATTTAATCTCAAATCTCTGAACCCTGTGGTGTTTAAGACTACAGTATATTTCTTCAGGGATTAATGACCCCCAAAATAGGCATAGACAAACTCTTCTGACCAATTTGATCTTTTGTGCATGCCACACAAAAAACATTTGAGGGGTTTTTCAAAAAGTAATGAAAACATCTTACGCCTTTTCCAGATCCATCTCCCCTTTGCTTTTACTCTCCAGTTCACTAGAAACCTTTGGTACAGACAGATGAGTACATTATTTTCTCTTAAAACTTAACTTCTTGACATTTAAGGTGTACCTCCTTCCTCTCTCATTGCAGGTTGAAAGGAACACATTAAGTTAAAATCAACTCTATTTTCACTTCACTTTTTCCAGTAGGAAAAAGTTCTTTCCTGAACCACAAAAATAATGTGTATATATTGTTCACTGACTTGTGCTTTAGTTTATTTTTCATGTCTATTCTATGCTTTCAGCCCCCTGTGCTTCCTCCCAGGCTTAGTTTAGCTCTTTGGTTGACACATGGTGATGGACATTTTAAAACATGAGGGATACATGTGAATTAATGATATTTCCTAGGAGATGAAACATCATTAACCTACTTCTTTAATTCATAATGATTAGAGGAACAGCATAAGAGGATTGTGTGGCACATGCTACCCTGATCTGGCCAGTTTCCCTGAGAACCATGAATCACATGAATCACAAAGCTGCCATGGGAAAAATATATTGCCTGACCAGAAAGAAAAATTTCTGCTGCAAAGGGCAGCTCCCACTCAGTATTCAAAATCAGATCCTCAGGATCTTTTGGTTTTCTTTTTTGTTTGTTTTTGTTTCTGTTTTATTTGCTTTATAAAACACATCGTCAATGCAAGGCATTTGATTTTCATTGTAAATCGCTGCCTTGGGAAGCTCTGAGAGTCACAGTTAGAGAAAGAAACCTCTTCTCCCTAGTTGAAAAAGATCCCCCAGCAAAACATGCTCTGTTAACTATAAGCACTCTGATCAAATAAAGTTGCTGAAAAATGCTTCTTCCCTTGTTTCAATCTGCAGACAGATATGCAGCTTTTCCATTAAGAAAATTACTGAATTGCTGTGTGAGTGCTTGGAACCAGATGCAGAGACCTCCTGTTGATCACCCTCTCAGTGGATGGCCCTGAAGGTGCATGTCCTAAGCATAAGGAGGGGCAGAAAGACATTTCTGAGGGGCAGAAATAGTTCTGGACATTAAAGAACTACTCTGTAAATGCTGACAGTCTGTTGCTACTGCAAAGACAAAGTTCACTTGAGGTCTGGTTACATATGCTTCTAGAGCCCATGGTTTGAACCTTTCACTGGAATATTGAAAAAACCTACTGGAGGCACCCAGTCCTGTGGCACATATTTATTCCTCAGGCATTAGCTAGGGCTTAGAATGAGCCTGAGATTGCTTGTACGAGAATATTTACCAAGCACAGGCATAGGGAGAAAACAAGCACTTGAAAAAAGTTTTCTTTATAGGAAATGTGCAAAATAGTCCTGTTTAAACTCAGACACTGGAGGAAAGCTTATTACCTTCTTGGGCAAGATCTTTATCCAATTGAGCTTGGAATAGCTGTGCTCTTGTCAACCAAATTAAAATGTTTTACACTGATTGAAAAAGCCCATTACTAGGATTGAGTATTTACTTCTGGTTACTTGTATTACCTGAGATTTCAAACTATATCCCTCCCTGAACATGGTTACTTATGAGTGAAGAGGTGCTGCTTGAGAAAAGCCCTAACAGCCAGTTTCACATCTACCAGGAGTATTTAGAACTAAAGTCTTCAGACAACAGGCAAGTATGAGAGGAAAAACGTTTTCCTACATCATAGCATAGTAAAAACAAATAGCATCTCTGCTTTTGGACTTCACTTTGTAGAGGCATTGCAATGTAGACAGAGATTAAGAAGGTCCTTTAATTTTTTCTACCCTATTTTGGGGTTCTGATATCTTGCAAAAATGAATGTTAAGGTTTATAATCTGAATTCTGGCTCCTGCTCTGTTGGCACAAAGCACTTGAAAAAACAACTTAAGTAATTTTAAGACTCCCAAACTTGG